TAGGAATAAAATTATTAGTACCAGCTCACAGCTAATACTACATATCACAGGCAGTGAGAATAAAGTTAAAAGGCCGAATGGCAACCCCCAAGGAAGTACCTTACAATCCAGAGACAAATAAAACAAGTATTTTTTTTAAAGGCATAATATAACTCAGGTAAGAAATTTCAGAAAGAGAAAACCAGTGTGCTCTAGGGCTCAAATTTCTTAAAACATTGCATTTACCTGGAGAGATCTGGAAAAATGGACGTGACACTCTTGGATATGTTGGATTGGATTAAACTAAATATAGAAAAATAAAACAGTGAGTTCTAGAGAGAAGAAACTGCACTAAAAATCCATAGACATAGGAATCCAAGCCCAGGAAACACTGGAAAGCAGCAAGCCAAGCAAGATAGTGCTTTGTCCTGAGCGCAGAAGGGAGACAGGAGATACTATCTGAAAGGTAGGCTGAGAATATATTGTAACTTAAGATGGCACACTGATTTCATTTAATTCCAAAAGTAATTCACAAGGGCTTGAACCAAGCAATTAGAGAGTAGGAAGTGAGGCCATGAGCATCATTAGAATAGCGTTTCTGCTTGGAATTTTTTACTTATTTTCCAAAATCAGATGTGTTCATTTGAAGGAATACCATCTTGACAGTGAGGGAACTCATATATTTTTTTATGATGATAAAAATGAAACTTTCAGAATTTGATCACTGCCTTATAAAAGTAACCTGGTTTCCTTGATTATTTTATCCTAAAGAGTATTTCTAGTATTGGGATCTAAAACAGAGGGAAAAAAGAACAGAGTAAACTGCAATATACTTGTCTTCTGCCATGCAAGCATTAAAATGTCATAAAGTAAAAAGGAACATGTAAGGCAACACTTTAAATAGAGAAGTTATAAAGTAACATACACCTGAGAAGTACCAGTAGAAATGGAGAATTTTTAGTGTCATAAAAACATGGAATTAAATGGAAATTGCAATACTGTAAGAACTGAGCTTTTAGCAGTATTCTGTATATATCTATATATCTGTAGGCATTACAGAGGCCTCAAAAAAGATGGCCAAAGATATTCAACCAAGGTGTCCTTTGTGCTAGGCACAGCTGTAAGACTAGGGCATCAAAATCCATCTATGAACTCAAAAATAGGTGTTTGTTTTTAAAATATACTTGAAGGACTACTACAGAGTAGCCAATAGCTTTGGTGATTTGGATCTTTTCAGTGAGAATAAACATACAGTTCTATGAGAAATTAACATTTGTGTGGGGAAACTGGATCTAGACAGTTATCTTCAAATTTTATTCTGATAGTTCCTATATCAGGACCACTAGGGAAGATTCGCTAAAATGCAAGTACCCAGAACTCTTCCAAACATAGGAAAGCAGAATTTCTGAGTGCAAGGTACAGTGAGGAGAATATTTAACACTTTTCTATGTGGTGTGTAAATACACTAAAGCTCTTCACCTTGAAAGATACCAAAACAAAACTGAGAAAGTAATGGAAGGAAGACTTTTTTTTCTTCCTTTCGAACTTTGGATGTTTCCTAGAAAAAAAACTTAAGCAAGTGTTTCTATTTTCACCCCCAGATCCAGGCAGAGCATCTAGCAAATAGAAGGATGATCAGAAAATTATCTGTGGATTTGAACTGAGCAGCACAGCCATGAAAGGCACAGTGTAACCATTTTATACACCCCTCCTTCCCCTGCTTTCCTCTGACTTTCTCAAAGAAAACAGCTGCTGCTGCTGCTGCTGCTGCACTGTCACAGCGTTCGCACCAGCACTGGTGCTGTGCTCCTAATTCTTCTTTGCATTGATTCGCACCTCCCCAGTCCCTGGAACTTAGTAGATGGATGATGCTGACGTTGGAGGCACAGACAAAGCTTCCCATGTCCTCCTCTCAGTTACACTGATTACGAGTGGTCTCTGTTTCTTTTCTCATAAGTACTACTGAATATGGCATTTGGCGTTTACCGTTTGCCTTTTACAGAAAAAGAAATCACAGATGAGTAGCTTGTACATCAGGCCAGAAAAACTTTTTTTCAGCTGTTAATGAACCTCCACATCTTTGGCAGAGTTTTCAATGATTTGAGTTTAAGGCAGATAATTAATGGTTTCGGTATCTAATTAATTATATGCTTATAGCAAAAGTTATTTTATAAGTACAGTTGTAACTTTTACATCTTCCCTCTATTGGAATCTCTCTCTCTCTCTCTCTCTCTCTCTCTCT